GAAATCCATCCTTGGTTTTCCCAAACACAAGCCACGAAAAAACGCCTGAATACTTTGTCTCGTAATTGATACTCGCCTCATGGTACATCTGCTATCTCAGCTGCATCTTGGTTTAGTGCGGGCGAGCCGGTGTCCGCGCGGACAGGGATGTCAGTTGTGTCGAGAGATTAACGGGTGAAGAAATTGACAAAGGGAAGGTACAAACAAGTTATAGCAAACCCTAGCGTTAGTTCTAGCACAAGAAACATAATGTACAACACCTAGACTAAAACTAGATAAAATATATAGAAATATAGTTTGACACACCCCCATAGTTTAGGTGACGGAAGTCCTGTAGAAGACATCATAAAGCCCAGGGTGAGTCTCAAGGACATACACAGTCTGAGAGCAAGGAAGGGTCACATGACCAGTCAGCAAGAACAAGCAAGGGTCATAAGACCAGTCCAAGAGAACAAGACAAATCTCAGGGTGGAGCTCAAAGTTACCACACGTGCCGAGAGCAAGCAAAGGGCCACAAGGCAAATCCACATGCACGTATATAGCAAATATAATGAGATGCAAGAGTACAAGACAAACAAGACAAAGCATCTCTATGTAAGCAAGTGAGGACGGGCAGGCACAAGGCCAAGCTGGGTGCAGAAATGCTGATGGTCACAAGGCGGCAACGCCTTGGTGAAGACATCTGCCGTGTTGGCCTCAGAGACCACACATCGTACGAGTGCCTAGCCATGCTGCTGGAACTCACGCAAAAGGAATAAACAAACTTGGATGTGCTTCGCCTTCCGAACAAGTCGGGGCTCCTCACGCAACAGGACAGCAGACCTGTTGTCGGCGAACAAGACTGGGGGAGAGCGAGGACGCTCAACAAGGTCGGTGAGAAGGAAAGACAGCCATTGAAGCTCCTGAGCGGCCATGGCCGCAGCGTACACCTCTGCCTCACAGCTGGAACCGGAGACGGACGATGCCAGAGTCAACCGCCACGAAAGAATACCTGTCCCTAGGCTAAAGGAGTACCCGTGTATAGACCGACGCATCTCCGTGTCGTCGGCCCACGACGAGTCCGAGTAACCTGTGAGTGTAACTGGCTGCTTCCCACCAATGACAAGTCCCATGCCTGATGTATTCGCCACATACTTCGCCACCTTGTTAGCAGCGTACCAGTAGGACGGTCGGTGTCTCCCAGGCGCAACAAAGCGCGCAAGGACGCTAAGACGGTAAGCTACGCTTGGGCGAGTACAGGTCATCAGGTACATGAGACAACCCACCAGCTCAGGAAATGGACCAATGGACTCAAATGACTTGTCCGAAGGTGGAGCTGTGAGCCCATGATCCACAGCGAGGGTTCAGGCGCCACCCCTCTTATAGGGGTAAGCTGTACCTTGGAGAACGGGAAGCAAAACCGCGTGAGGATCTGCTCAACCATATGCGATTGAGTCAGCGTAACGGTGCGAGCTGCCTTATCCCTGGTGATCTGCAGGCCAAGGTAATGATGCAGCTCACCAAGGTCAGTGCAAGTGTGTCTCCTCTGCAATTCCTCCTTCACGGAGGCCAGCACGCGTCGATCGGGAGTGGCGAACACCAGGTCGTCGACGTAGACCAGGACAAAGAACGGGGTCGAGCCACGGCAGATGAACAGTGAGGGGTTGGCAGACGATGGAAAGAAGTAAAGTGCGGCAAGGGTCAAGCGAAGTGTGTCGTGCCACTCACGTGGAGCCTGACGCAGGCCGTAAACTGGTCGACGCAGCCTCCACTGGGTCCCAGGTGGGAAAGAGCCAATAAAGCCAGGCGGGCAACGCTATTAGATCTGCTCGTGCATGCTCTCTTGAAGGAACTGCTGGTGCAACCCTACGGTTTGCACTCGGCTTGTTGTCCGTGTGCGTGCATGCGTGTGTGCATGGAATGGTATGAGGGCATGGGATAATATATATACTTCATGCTTATAATAGTGTGTGAATGTTGAGTCATGATGTCGAGTGTGTGTGTCGAATCAATAGTGAGTTATCACTAGTCGCGTGTCACGCAGTCGTTTGTATCCTGTGCGCGGTTTCTATTTCATCGTGTGTCTCGTGCACGGTTTCTATTTTGTCGTGTATGTGGAACATTCGGCGTATCAAGAACTCAAGGATGAGTTTGTGGTGAAGAACCAGAGCCTTGGTGTCAAGATTCAAGTGATCGCAAAGCCTGCGAAAAGGGTACACCTCAAGATATTGAAGATAGTTACATTACTTTGTGTAGTGTAACATTTCACTTGGTGTAGGCCCTAGTGAAGGGTAGTTTCGAGACTCTTTGTGGGGCACTTTTCCATATCAGTGTACCTCGGCTCTTGGGGTTTGTAGGAGCTGGGAGTCATTCCCAACTCGTAACTCTTCCTATATTGTGTCCTAAGACCATATTGGCTGCCATAGTGCCGTTTATTCAAACCGACGCTGTGTCGTCAATACTTGGTAAAATCATACGATCTAAATTGCGTATTGTAGGCGCCATTAGGACGCTCGAGATCCATGTTGAATCCGGTTATTTAAAGCTGTGAACAGAACGGTATGAACGTTTAAAGCCGCTGTGCATAAATCCGACTGTGCACTCTATCTTTTGTTTTGGGCACATTGGAGCCTACTGTGACTATAACAAGTGGTATCAGAGCCCCTTCGAGCAGTTTCAATAATGGCTGGACCTGAGGAAAGGGGTGGCAGAGGTGCTGGTGGTAGTGGAGAAGCCCAAGTGCAAGGCCAACCCCGTGACTCAGCCATGGCGCCCGTGCAACAAAGTGTTGGCCCATCTAGGGATGAGCCTAGAGTGTTTAGCCTTGACAACTTCTCTGAGTGGTCCTTCAGAATGGAGAACATAGAAGCGTCCCGAGAAGGTGATGGAAGGAACGGAGAAGCGTCCCGAGAACGACCCGGAGAAGAGCCCGTGGGTACGGAAGAGCGCACAAGGCTACCTCCTACTTGGGCAAGCCTTGGGGAGCAGCCAAATCCGACACATCAAGCCATTCAAGCCTGAACCAGAGAAGGAACCAAAGTCATGGGCTGATCTGAAGGGTGTACACGCTCCTGCAACAGCGGCGGTCGCGGTGGTGTTGGAACGGCAAATGGCGACACTATGAATTGAAGAAGATAAACCCGTGGAAGAAGGGGTGCAGAAATTCTTCGACTTGCTGATGCGGCTTGAGGGAGCTGATTTGAACTACAGTGAGCTCCAGAAGAAGACCAAGTCGCTGGCCTTACTCCCTGAGTCATGGTCCTCCCTCATTATCAACCTCAATTGTGATCTGCCCCGCCTCTCGCTTGAAGACGTAAAGCGAGCTCTCCTTCAAAAGGATTTCCTGCGCCGTAAGTTGGCGAGTGCGGATGGTGCCGGGGCAGCAAGCATCGGCCGGGGGTACGGCCGTGGGAGCGAACACCTACACCGCGAGGCTTGGCGAGCGGATTCTTTGGGACCTCCATGAGGATAGGGATGTCTACAACGAGATGTGGCTGATCCCAGTGGTCCCTATGCCTAAGGAGAGGCAAATGGCAGCAAGCGTCAGCACCAAGGGTGAAGCGGTTGGTAGCGGCTACGGCGCGAATGATGGCGCCAAAGCGAAAGAGTCCAACAAGTGCAATCTTGGAGGGACCAGTAAGCTGTGTGAACTTAAGGAGAGTGGTGCAGCAGCCAAGGAGCAGCACAAGGGTGAGGAGAACCCCAAGGCAGCAGCGGAGGAGGACTACGGAGAGAGCATGTGGGGCGCTATTGCGAGCGCGGCATTCTCCAATCCGACTTGGGGGAGTGTGATTGGCTTACCTTACATCGGCAAATAAAACATGTGGCCCTGCCTATCTTGCTGCAGCTAGTGAAGAATGGAATGGTTGCTGGTATACGTGTGAAAGGGGAGCCCGATGAGGTGCTTGGCTGCCCGACGTGCATTCAAGCCAAGTTGACCCGGTTTCCGTTCCCTAGTTCGGAAGCAATGGCAAAGGCACCACTTGATGAGGTGGTCATGGACGTGGTGGGCCCCCTGAAGCTTGGGGCTGCTGGAGCCGAATATTTTCTCACCATTGTGGATGTCTACACCCGCATGACCTGGGTGTACGCGCTGTCCAAGAAGAGCGACCTGGCTGAAACGGTGAAGACCGATTGGTTGCCGATGATGGAGCAGCAACAAGACCGACTAGTCAAGTCAATCCGCACCGATTATGGGGGAGAGTTCCTGAGCAAGGAGTGTGGATTGTGGCTGAAGAAGAATGGGATAAGGCACTCCCTTCCCATGCCATACTCCCCTGCAATGAACAGCATCACCGAGAGAGCGAATCGCACAATCACGGAGACGGCACGCGGGTTGCTCATTGAAGCCGGGCTACCCGACTATTTCTGGCCTGATGCGGTGCGGAGTGCGTGTGTGGCCAAGAACAGAGCCTTGACTCATGTGGGAGCAGACAAATGGGTGCCCTATGTGGAGTGGATCGGAAGGAAGCCCTAGGTGGATATGCTTCGGGTGTTCGGGTGCATGTGCATGGGGCTCGTGCCTAAGCATCTTCGGCACAACAAGCTTGGTGCCAAGGCGATATGGGCCGTGCACTTGGGCATGGCTCAAAACAGCAAGGGGTGGCTCCTTTGGGACCCATTCACGAAGAAGTTCCTGGTGAGCAGGGACTGCAAGTTCATGGAGAACCGGATGTGTAAGGATGGGAAGACGGAGAATGAGGCAAAGATAGGCGTGCGGTTTGGAGAGGTGAAGAGTTCCGGCTTGGAGCATGTGGAGCTGCCTTTGGAGCTGAGCAGCGGCAGCACAACCACAAGGCAATCCTCCCTTATGAATGGGGGAGAGGAGGCCAAGGATGCAGAGGAAGAGGAGGAGGAGGTGCAGCAAGTGAGTGAGCGTGCACCGACACTTCCCTCTAGCACTACAAGTGCTCCACGGATCCGCGTCATACCGCAGCAACGCCAAGGCATTCAAGTCCCTGCACCTGAGGAGGAAGGAAGGGGAAATAGGAAAGTTCAAGCCCCAAATAGGCTGACCTATGATGCACCGGGAACACATGGCAGGTCAGCCCTGGCCGGAGCGGCAATGATGGTCGGAGACGACGAGGAGAGTAACTACGAGGAATGTGCGTTCGTGCTCTTCTATCAAATGGAGGTGCCGGGAGAACCAGCAACCCTCAAGGAGGCCTTGGTGAGCAGTGATGCTGAGGAGTTGAAGAAGGCCAAGAAGACTGAGCTGAAAAGCATTGAGGAGAACGACACGTTTGAATTGGTGGAACTACCGGAGGGGCGTAAGGCGATAACGTCCAAGTGGCTCTTCAAGATCAAGTCGAACGCCGACGGCAAGATCGAGTGCTACAAGTCTAGGCTTGTAGCCAAGGAGCAGTTTGCTCTTGTGGTGAAGCCAACGACGCTGCGGACCCTACTCGCGGGAGCCGCTATCAAATGATGGGTGGTGAAGCAGATGGACATTGTAACGGCATTCCTCAACGGTGTTCTAGAGGAAGAGATCTTCATGGCGCAGCCAGAGGGGTTTAATGATGGTAGTGGCAGAGTGTGGAAGCTGAAGAAGGCCCTCTATGGGCTTAGGCAGGCCCCTAGGCAATGGTACATAACGCTGCGCGAAGTATTGGAGGAGATCGGCTTCACTCCCTCAACGGCCGATCACTCCTTGTTCATGCTTGGCGAGGGGGAGCAGAGGAGCTCCATGGTGGTGTACGTGGATGACATCCTCATCTTCTCACACTCTGATCTTGTGAAGGAGGTGATGCTGAAACTTCAAGACAAGTTCAAGTGCAAGTCCCTTGGTGACATGGAGTAGCGGTGCATGCGGGTGTCGAAGTATATGCATGTTATATATGTGTAGGCTGTAGTGGGGTAGCCAATATGGGGTACAGCCCCTTTTAGGGTTTCATACTTGTACTCAACTCTTTCATAGTTGATTCATTCCTGCTGCTAGATTCTAACATGGTTTCAGAGCACTAGGTCCGTAGGACCGTTTTTTTTTTTCGGGCCCACCTACCGTTGCGGTTACAACGCTACCCCACGTGTGTCAAGCATATATGCTATAGTCTGTGTAGGCTGTAGTGGGGCAGTTCATATGGGGTACAACACTTTAGGATTTACTACTTGTACTCCTCATTCTGCTCAATGCATTCATTCCTCGTTTCTTATCATGGTATCGAGCAGGTTCCCTAGTGGGAACGCTACCTAGGGCCCACCACGATTTTTTTTCCTGCCCGGAGCGCGCTTCACTCCTGCCCGAGTCGCGCTCTGTGTGCCCTCCCTACCTTCGAGCCGCCCTTAGTGGCCCCTCTCACGGCCCCTTACGCCGCCCTTACGGCCCCTAGCGCCGCCCTCTACGGCCCCTCGCGCCGCCCTAACGGCCCCTTACGGCCCCTCGCGCTGCCCTTACGGCCCCTTACGGCCCGTCGCGCCGCCCTTACGGCCCTCGCGCGGCCCTCTTTCGGCCCCTCGCGGCGCCCTTTCCAGCCCCTTACGGCCTCGTCGCCGCCCCGTTTCGGCCCCTTGCGGCCCCTCTTCGGCCCCGTCTAGGCCCCTTGCGGCCCCCTCTGCGGCCCCGTCTAGGCCCCTTGCGGCCCCTCTGCGGCCCCTCTGAGACCCCGTCGCCGCCACCTACGGCCCCGTCGCCGCCACCTGCGGCCCCGTCGCCGTCACCTGCGGCCCCGTCACCGCCACCTGCAGCCCCGTCGCCACCACCTGCGGCCTCGTCGCCGTCACCTGCGGCCCCGTCGCCGCCACCTGCGGCCCCGTCGCCGCCCCCTGCGGCCCCGTCACCGCCACCTACGGCCACGCAGCCGCCACCTGCGGCCCCGTCGCCGCCACCTGCGGCCCCGTCGCCGTCACCTGCGGCCCCGTCGCCCTCCCCTAGCGGCCCTGTCGCCGCTCAGCTGCCCAGCGACCGAGCCGCCGAGCAACCCAGCTGCCGAGCCGCCCACCTGCCGAGCAGCCGAGCCGCCCAGCAGCCGAGCCGCCCAGCAGCCGAGCCGCCGAGCCGCCCAGCAGCCGAGCCGCCCAGCCGCCGAGCCGCCCAGCAGCCGAGCCGCCCAGCAGCCGAGCCGCCCTTCCGCCGAGCCGCCGAGCCGCCCTACTGTCGAGCCGCTGCTGTTCCTACCGGTGCGCCCCGGGCCTCCTTCCTCGGACTGGTGAGCTCAGTCCCTCCTAGGCCACTGTAAACATGGCTACCCCCAGTGTCCTTACTTTTGATGCTGAGGGCTGTTGGGTGCAAATTCACATTGCACGACATCCTGCCGTCTGTTTGTACGAGTATGCGTGTGCGAATGCATTTGGGTGTGAATCGTATGTTCGTGTGTTTGTTTGCTTTCGCAATTTTCGCTTGAAGCATTTGCAGGTACTCGCACAATGTGCGCTTCGGCACAACATTGTACGCGCTATGAACAGTGCAAGCAGAAAGGACGAGCTCGCAAAGGAACCCAAGATGGAAGCTTTGCGGTTCGGTTGAATTGATTGCGCAGATTCAGTTCTATCCAACTTGTAATTGTACTGTTTTGTTTGGTTGACTATAGTGTAGCAGGGCAGGCACTATAGAGGTACAATTTAGGTGAAGGTTGGATGTTGTTTGTCTGTATCTGCTTGCTACAGGGCCAGGGGAAACCAGCGGAACCAGCATTTGGCTGGATGGGCAAAGACAAAACAGGTTCTGTTTTTAGGACCTGAACCTGGTTGTTGTTTTCCCAGGTTGGAAAAACAGAACCAGAGGTTGTTTACCAACCTACCACCTGCTGTTTTGTCCAGCCAGGTTGGTTTTGTTGCTTGGAGTTATTTGGGATCATCCCTGGTTGTTCCCAGGTTGATTCCCAAGGTCCTTGCTAGCTAGAGCTATTTATTCCTTCTCTGTTTGTACCTGAATATAGTCAATTTGATTCAAGCGAATTCCTCCCTTCCTGGAATTTCGTTTCTACGCGGTGCGATGGCGGAATGCTACCCGAGTCAACGCTAGTACGCTAGCACTCCAACACTAGGCAAACGCTGTCCGAGCCATAACTTCGTAATGGCAGAACTTTTCGCGAGGCAACTTGGTTCATTTTAAAGCTCTTGGAGTAAGCTTCGATATAGGAAATTCTCAGCTTAATACAATCAACGGTTTGCACAATACGCTGCGCGACATTCAAGGTACTCTTGCTGTTTTGACTAAGTCCCTCTTGATCCCTCTCTCTACAAACTCGGACCCGAGGATAGGGGCTGGTCTTGTACCAGGCACCCAAGGACCCTTGGAGGTGACCCCGAGGAGAGGTTTTAAGTTTGATAAAATCTTAATAGCTTGAGTTTATTAGGCCCTTACACTAACAAGGGCCGTGCCGTTGACTTTGAGGTTTGGGTCCATGACCTCTGTGTTCGATCTCACCTCTGGTGTCTCTCCTGCCCCGCCTGCTACGTCTGACAACATTGTTCGCTCACAGTGGGCCACACGCGATGCTGCTGCTCGCCTTGCTGTGCATCGCCACTTACCGACCACTGAGCGTGCACACTTTAGCGAGTACAAGAGGGCTCAGACCTTGTACGACGCTGTAGTTGCACGCTACTCTTCCCCTGCCACTGCTGCACTGAGCCGCCTCATGCTACCGTACCTCTTCGCTGACCTTGCTGCCTTTCCCACAGTCGCTGACCTCATTACGCACCTCCGCACTAGTGTCACTCGCTACCGCGCTGCGCTTCCTGCAAAGTTCTGCGCCAAGAACCCCCCCCCCCCCCACCATGTACATCACCCTCTACTACATAGTCACCCGGCTCCCTGAATCTCTTCGCGTATTCAGGGACTACTTCCTCTCAGTTTGCCCCACCACTCTCATCGTTGACCTCCTCGAGAAGGGCCTCCTAGCAGCAGAGAAGAGCATAGTCGCTGTAGGAGCCTCTCGTGGTGACCCTTGCACCCCCGTCTTTGAGGGGTGTTCCCCCTCCCCCGTCTTGCCCTTTGTTGCTTCTGCTGCTGCGGCCGACCTCGTTGGTTTCTCCGGGGTCGGCGCTGCGTCTGCCCCTAGCGGGAGACGCCGCACCAGCAAGGGCAAGGGGGGCAAGGGCGCTGGAGGGGCTGGCGGGGGCGGTGGAGGTGGTGGTGGAGGCAGTGGAGGGGGTGGGGGTGGTGGTGGGAGTGGTGGCGGGGGTGGCGGCAGTGGCGGCAGCAGTGGAGGCAGAGGAGGCGGCGGTGGTGGCGGAGGGAGCGGAGGCGGCGGAGGTGGCGGAGGAGGCGGAGGTGGAGGAGGCGGCGGAGGCGGCGGTGGTAGTGGTGGAGCGGGTCGCGACTCTGCGCAGAGGAGTGGCTCAGGTGGTGGTCTGCGCCAGCAGCAGCAGAGTGGTGTGACCTTGTCCCCTCAGCAGCTTCGTGAGTGGTATGCTGCGCGTCAGTGCGGTGGGGGTACTGGTCCCTGCACTTACGTCCTCCGTACCGGCGACCGAGCTGGTGAGCAGTGCTGGGGCCCGCACTCCACCCAGCGCTGCTTCGGTCGCCTGACGGACGCCTGGCGTTGCCAGTTCCCTGAGGCGTCAGAGATCCCTCGATGGGGAGATCTGTCTAGGGCGGGGGTTGCCATCTTTGATCTTGACTATGATGTTATCCTTGCTGCCATGTATTCTGTGACTACTAATGTTGAGGGTGACTGTTACCTGTGTGTACTGCCTGACCCGGGCATTGAGGCCACTGCTCTAGGTGCTGGTGAGGCTGCTGCTCTAGGTGCTAGTGCGTCTGCTACCCCAGGTGCTAGTGCGTCTGCTGCCCCAGGTGCTGGTGAGTCTGCTCTCTTAGGTACTACGTCGGCTCAGGCCTTACACACCTTCACCCTTGACTCGGGTGCGTCCCGCTCCTTCTTTCCAGACCGCACCACTCTTACGCCGCTCCGTCGGCCGGTTGCAGTCTCCGTGGCGGACCCCTCTGGGGGTCCTGTCCTTGCTAGCTTCTCCACTGTCTTACCGTGCCCGGCAGCCCCCTCTGGCACCCTGTCAGGTCTCTACCTCCCCTCGTTCTCTACAAACTTGGTGAGTGGAGCGGACCTACAGGATAGGGGGGTTGACCAGTTCACTCCTGCGAGTCAACGAGTGACCCACTGCACGTGTGCTCGCACAGGCCGACACTTGGCCACGTTCACCCGTCGGCCGGGGTCGAGCCTATACACACTTACTACTGAGTCTCCTCCGGCTGCTGAGTCTGGTCAGGTAGCTGCGTCGAGTCAGGTGTTTTCTGCAGCGTCCAGGTCTGGTCCTGAGTCTGCTCCCTGCTCGTGTCGTCTCCTCTCCCACCAGACTCTCCTTTGGCACCACCGCCTTGGTCACCCCTCCCTGCCCCATCTCCGAGGCATGGCCTCGCGTGTCCTAGTCTCTGGTCTCCCCCGGTCTCTCCCTCCCCTACCTCCGAGGCCTGCCCGTACCTGCGTCCCCTGCGTCGAGGGGCGACAGCGCGCCGCCCCTCACTCCTCCGAGTTTCCTCCGACAGAGGCTCCGCTACAGACCCTTCACATGGACGTGTGGGGCCCCGCCCGCGTCCGAGGGCAGGGGCACGAGCGGTACTTCCTGCTGGTGGTTGACGACTACTCGCGTTACACCACAGTCTTCCCCTTGCGCAGCAAGGGTGACGTCACTGGGATGTTGATCGACTGGATCCGCGCAGCTTGTCTCCAGCTCAGGGAGAGTTTCGGCACGGACTTTCCTGTTCTGCGTCTGCACTCGGACAGAGGCGGGGAGTTTTCCTCTGCCCGTCTGGGAGCCTTCTGTTGTGCACAAGGCATCCGCCAGACCTTCACCCTTCCGGCCTCTCCACAGCGAAATGGGATTGCTGAGCGCCGCATTGGCATGGTCATGGACGTCGCTCGTACGTCCATGATCCATGCGGCTGCCCCCCATTTTCTGTAGCCGTTTGCGGTTCAGTACGCCGCGCATCAGCTCAACCTTCAGCCCCGGGTCTCCTTGCCAGAGACCTCCCCCGCCTTGCGGTGGACAGGGAAGGTTGGCGATGCGTCTGCGTTTCGGGTCTGGGGATCTTGGGCGTTTGTCCGCGACTTGTCTGCGGACAAGCTGTCCCCTCGTGCTGTTCCCTGCGTCTTCCTTGCCTTCCCCCCTGACGCGCCTGGGTGGCAGTTTTACCATCCCACCTCGCGCCGTGTTCTGTCCTCCTAGGACGTCACCTTTGACGAGTCGGTGCCTTACAACCGTCTCTTCCCCTACCGCACTGTACCCCTCCCCCCGCCGCCGCTCTTCCTTACGCCAGGTCCTCCCCCGGTAGACCCCCTCCCCCCTCAGGGTCCTTACTCGTTAGGTGTGTCCCAGGTAGACGCAGTCGAGCCTGTCGAGGTAGCTGTTGACTCTGGTGCTGCTAGAGGTGCTGAGCCTGCGGGTGCCGGGTCTGGAGGTGCTGAGTCTGGGGGTGCTGAAACTGGGGGTGCTGAGTCTGGGGGTGTTGAGCCTGGGGGTGCTGGGTCTGGGGGTGCTAAGCCTGGGGGTGCGGAGCCTGGGGGCGCTGAGTCTGCCCGTGTGGCCGTCGGCGGTGCTTCGTCGAGGCGGGAGCCACTCTCTCCACAGGAGCTGCGCGAGTGGTTTGCCCGCCGCTGGAGACGTGCTGCTGGAGCTGGAGGTGCTACTGTTTCTGCTGGTCCCGGAGGTGCTCGTACTGGTGGTCCTGGAGCTGCTGGGACTGGGGGTGCTGCTGGGGCTACTGGAGTTGGTCCTGCTGGAGCTGCTGGCGGTAATGGTGCTGCTGGAGCTGGAGCTGCTAAGGGTGTTGGCGCTGGTGTTTTTACTGGCGCTGGTGCGTCTGGGGGTGCTGGTGAGGCTGCTGGAGCTGACGGTCCTACTAGAGCTGGTGCTGTTGGAGCTGGAGCTGCTGAAGCTGGAGCTGCTGGGGGTGTTTGCGTTGGCGGTGCTGCT